TTAATTTAAAAAGACATTTGGTTTATTTACTATTTTGATAAATAATAGATAAATAATTTTCTTTATATATGAATCTATACCTGCGGCATTCAGTTAGTTAACGTTACTTAAGGGTTTAAGCATTGGACTCAGTGCATTGTGTGCTGAACCATTCCACGAATATGTTTTTCCGAATCTTTGCATGGCCCCGCAGGTGGAATGCAACATTTAGGAAGCTACATCTGAGTGGAATGAAGCAGCCACAATGCATTGAGTCTTGGGCTTAAATTCTTTTCACACGTTCCAAAATAGTATCTATAAAATCACCTATAAGATACAAAATCACTAAAAGAACATATTTTCAATGAAACGTTTTGCAAGGGTCAAGTATTGGACAACTCAACTTCAATCTCAATCGCTTAGCAACTGTACACAACAAATGCGTTATTGATATTTCACACACTGTTCATTATGTGATTCTCTGTTTGGATTGGCTAGAATCGGACACACCTTGCCTAGCTATGTGTGAATTAACGTTTAACATATATTAATTCAAACATATGAAATTGTTATATAACCGTTGTGGAATTATGATGTCATATTTACTTTTTATAACTGTTATATAAATAAAACATTTTTTGTTATAAAAGAAAACTGAAAATATAATTGAATAATTGAATAAAAGTAAAATAGTAACTCACGATGTTATACGAAATACACTTACATAAATGTGATGAATTAGACTGGTATGATCAAAATTATATATAATTAATTTATTTTATTGTAATTCGTCATGGGCTCATTGCAGACACTATACTAATAATACGAGGATCCTATTTGAGTATAATTCAATCTTAATGGTAATTTAGTGTGTATTCATATTAAGTATGTGTTTAAAACAAACGTACATTTTCACGAGTACCTGTGGTATTCGTTTTTCATATTTACGTTTTCAATACAAAAGTTCAGTTTCTCTACAAGTGAACATGGTCACTAGATTGCTTTGTTGAATTCATCACTAGGAACAAAATATAAATAATTTTTAATGATTTAATGTAACAATTATTAATGAAATACTAATGAATTTACATGTCATTGTAGAACATATTCACTTAATCACATTTCCCAATTTTAAATTCAATTTTTTGTGAAAGTCAGTCGAAAAAGTCGAAAAAGTCGGGCTTGTCTTTGTTTGGAGAGTGTTACGTACGAGCGAGCCATACCACAATGACAAGCATTGACAGTTCGATCTTAGTAGAAGCATAACGGAAACGAACACATAATTAACCCACTCTCTCTCTCTCTCTCTCTCTCTCTCTCTCTCTCTCTCTCTCTCTCTCTCTCTCTCTCTCTCTCTCTCTCTCTCTCTCTTGTCTATTTCGGTAGCTGATCTACAAATTAAACATTTGTTTAGCGGTGCCTGTAGAAACTTTATTTTTCGGTATATAACACCTCTTATCAAAGCGTTTTTTAATTTTAAGCAGCGTTACAATATTTTTGACTCTGGTACAATATATGACGTAATTTTATGCCTTTTGGGGAAATTCTCAAGGGGAACGCCGCAAAACAGACAACTCAGATATTGGGCCTAAACTGCATTTAATTACTGAGCCAGAAAGGAGGAAAGGCATTGGAGCTTTAATTTGACCGTAACTCAATTGCACCAGAAGCCAAAACAAGTCCTTAAATTAACTAATGTATTCTGAGGTTCTTGGCCCCTCTAGAGTCACAAGACTATATATACCATCTGAAAGCTAATATACCACTTGAAAGCTATACTGGACAACGACAATTTCATATCTGCAACTTTATCACTTGTAATACATTATATTGGATAGATTTCTTCTCATTATTTTATTAGTCACACTTGCACGAGTAAATTTTGGTCATTCTCTACAGTAACAGTAAGGATATCTACTTCCTCGTATGTAATTACAATTTCGGCTTAAACATTATGAAGGGCAACATTCGGCATTTGATTTGACTCAAATTACATTTCTATCAATAATATAAGTATTTTTACAACAGGTTAAGTAAATAAAAATTCGGTAGTAAAGTAAAGAGGCTTTAACACGTAGTTCAATTGGGGAGCAAAGGTTGCCAAATTTATGAAGGGGAGTGTTTATATAGGCCCACGCCCCCAGGCGATGTATCTTACTATTGTATTCAGATATACAGAACAATGCCAAACCCCTTGAGATATTTTATTCATAATGCCTCCGAGTCCCTATTACTGTTAATATGTACTTTCCTATCATAAGGCAAAATCGCTTACGTCTACCATTCCCCGGGGATATATCTTGAGTACCATTCCCCGGGGATGTATCTCGCCTTATATTCCCCGGGGATATATCCCACCTACCATTCCCCGGAGATATATCTCGCCTACAATTTCCCAGGGAAACACGTCACCTACTATTTCCCGAGGATATATGTTACACCTACATCGTGATTTTTATTCCACGATGGTATTTGCTTTGGGGTACTATACGCATAAAGCTAATCACTACTTGTAATCCCAGATATTACGCATGACGGGTATGTCCTTATTTTCCGAGGCAAAATATACCCGGCTTACGCCAACCATTCCTCGGGGATATATATTACAAGGTGTTTTTATGTATATATTCTACAATGCCATATCCCCTGGGATATTATACGCATACATGGCGATTCTTTAATAATAGGGGATCGATCATAGTCTGCATTAGTGTATATCAGAAAACAATGCTCTATGCTTCCCAATTTATCGATTAGAGAAGTAAAGGAACACGATGTGTAGCCGGCCTCCAAGCAGATGTCGGAAGGATGTGCATTTAGATATTGAACCGAGTATTGTTCACTTTTCCTTTTATTCATCTAGTCATTTACCATCCGTGAGGATTAGGGATCATTCGAGGAAAAGAAAAAAATGAATGCTACTCTCGGACTGTTTAAAGATACACGAAATTCCCTTTATTTGAAGAAACGGGGTGTAGCGTGTGTTTTGCTTCTATCTGTACATAAGGGGAGGCTTGCTCTCCCCTTGTCCATCTAAGCGTAAGGGGGAGGGGGAGGTCAAAAGGACTTGTATGTTGACGAATGAAAAGTGAAATAGATATATATTATATAGGCCACTGATTGGGCTTCTTAGCTAGAATAATGTTCAGCACCCGTGGACCAACTCATTGACTGACCACTTAAATTGAAGGCAGTGAATTTCAAAATACATATATTTCTATTTATCAATTAATATAAGACCCATCATGTCATTATATGATTGAATGAATACATTGGTTTAACAGTACGCATCCATCAATGATACAAACTATCATATCATCTTCATACGTTTTGCTTCGCTTTTTGGATTTTGGCTTCACTTCTCAGTGCTCGGAATATAATACGTGGCGTGTCATAAAACCCAATGATCCAATCGGACGTGAGTATGTATTCAGTAAAGACGAGGGCGGAAAAGTTGAATTTGGTAGATTAAGATGGACAGCTCGCATCACCGTGACATGATCAATGAAGACGTCAAGTTATGAAAATAAATCTTAAATAAATAGAGGATGCTTGTCAAATCAAGTCATTTCCCGATACTTGTTTTCGACTTGATTTATTTATTCAAACTCTCGAGCTTAGCTTGAGACAAATTGCATAAGACATCGTGATCAAATCTTGAGCACTTGCCGACCATTCTCTTGAAATATGTATGGAAAGCCGAAGTTATATCATCCCCTTTCCATGGTGTATGTCGAAATATAAATTATTGATTTCCAGCTCTGCTGTAAGTAATCGTATTCCCGGAACGCTATCATGCCTTACAGGGTGTCTCAATACTTCATGCACCCGTTTGTCAGATGACGTCACGATAACTAGAAAAATTGATTAACTGGTCTATATTGGAGTATGTATGACCGCTAAACTTCATTAATGCAAATAGTTGTGTTTCTTGTCTGTTCATCATATTAGAATCGTAACAAAGACTTCGATTTTATGATTTGTTTCAAATATATGACCTCAAATTTTATTCTGCCCATTGCCAAAGACCCCAATCGCTTCGCGAACAGAACAAAACTTTCTGTCATATATTACGCCATAAATCATAAAATCTCGGTCATTATTCCTTAATTAAACCATTTCTGTCCTCAATTACTCCTAGTAATAACATATGATTGATTGTTCAATGTACGTTTAACAAGATCTTTTCGAAAGTCCATGTCTAATTAATATGTTTGTACAATGGAGTTCAGTGTTCTCGCATTTGTTAACGTTCTTAGATAATACTAATATTTGACAATTTTGTTTGATCGTGATTTTATATTTATATGTCAGTCCAGTAGAATTTACATAATTTAATTACTTGTGTGTCAATATTATTTAACCCAAAATAATCAGCATGGCAGAAAAAATATATAAATAAATAAATAAATAATAAATATATATAATATATATATAATTTCGTATCTTAGGGGTGAACATGGAAACTACTGGCCTAGCTTTACACATTATATTCCCTTTTAATTTGTTCATTCATCTATGATGGCCTGTCGCCTATTGCCCTATAACGGCCTTCATTTAACTTATAATTTTCTTCTTAAATGCATGGAAACGATTACAATACAGACACAATACAACCTTGACGTAGACCTTGTTTTGACTTTTTGACAAGCTTTCCAATGTAATAAATGAAATAAACATGTACAAATGCGAGACGGGACGAGGCAGTATCCGATCTCACATGCGCGTATCATGAAAAATACGTTGCCTATATTTGAATAAGCTAATCTAACTGACTGCCTTTTCTGTCACGTACATTTTGTTATAATATAATTCTCACGCTAGTATTAGGAAAAACATGTACCTCAAAACAGAAACTTATTTAGAAATTACAATATATGGCTAGCTACGCCGACGTCATTCCGCCACGATTCGCACCTGTTCCTATTTAATTCAATCCTGATAAATATACAAAAATAAAGAGCTGTTGTTAAAGGCAAATGTGATAATAGTATGATAAATGTACGCTATTCTTCCCTTACCTGTCTATCAGCGTTCTAAAATCATCCGCCTCTTAAAGCCACACCGTACGAATAACAGATTCTGCGACTGTTATTGGAACTAAGCACCGACCCGTGACAAAAATACGACGATTATTCTATATTACAAATAAAACGTTACATTTTGAATTTAAAAATGAGTAACGCATGCAAGCACGTAGTAAACGCTCTAAATTGTAAAGGGTTGCCAAAGTTTTGAGAGTTTATTAAAAATTAAGGAGAAACTATGTAAAATGTTTGAGGAGTTGAAACGTTTGAGACACGGGAAGGAATACGACAACCATGCATGGAGAGCAAACCAATATCAAAAATCCAATATTCCAACACTAAACCGAGCCTGGAAATGTCAATCTGTTCCGATTGATTTTTTCCGACGTGCCTTTTTCAGACGTCGCGGGATTTTAACTTTTCGACATATATATTGAATAAAAATGAATGACACTAATACACTCTTCAAATCTTACGGAAAATGTACGAATGTTTAATATGGCTTAGTTATATTTTAAGCGTGGGGCTAGGTATCTAGGGTACTATAAAGCCATGTAATTTTCCTTGCATTCCATTCGTATTGATCGCCCGTGATTAAATCATGATAAATGTAATCTCGCGTGACGTCACAATAGTGGGAGGGACTTATCATAGCTGAGGAAGAGCACTCTCCAAATGCAGGTTATTTGCGTATTTATATCGTATATTATTTATATAGTACCCCACACACAATTTTGTCGCCTACTTTGATGTATTGTAGAAAAATATCCAAAAAGATTTTGCTTATAAAATTTGACATACTTTAACTTGAAACATTTTGTGACACTCAATTTTTTTATTTGGATATTTAAGTAATATTGACGAAAAACAAGCAATTTCAAAATATTCATGTTTTAACAAAATTCGACGAAAATTTCCAGTTTTGCAGATTTAAAGAGAGTTTAAATCATTTTGATTACAAACCTATTGCATTACATATGGTTTGTCTGTTCTCTTAAGATACTGTTACTATGTGTTGGAGATGTCCAACTCCTAAATAGGAATATTGTAAGTGTGTTTTTTTTATTGTTTAAGAGTGAAGACCCCTTTTAATACTTTCAATACATGGACAGGTACATGTATCATATGATTTGTCGGCTTTAAGTCTAAAAAGGTTCATCAGGGCACTGAAAGACATCCCTGGTTGAACTTCTATCCCATCCTACCCCTACAGGATTTCCTACTGTCTCACTTGATTAAAAAATCCTTTCCAATAGCTCGCATCTCATAAAATCTCAAGAAAGTGGTTGTATTTGTTAAAGTCAATTGAGGCATTATTAACAGTGAGCTTGCACTCAATTTTTCATTGGCCTACGATCGGGAGGCCATATTCCCCAAATACCTCACAGGTGGCCACCGACATGGATTTAACATGTGAACTTTCAGGGGTAACATCATAACATTGTAACATTATAACAGTCACTCCTGCTTGGTTCAGTTTTTCTTTTATCAGTGGATTATAATGGTTTTTAATAGGATAGGAATGACTAGAATATTCAAATTGTTTTTGTAATCAATTTTATACAAATTGTTTCAACATTTAGATTGATTTAGGTGAAATCTGTAAATGCGTAGCAATTTAGAAACCTAAATCAAATTGTGGTGAAGTCATATTACCCGAAACAAAAAAATTGAGTGTCACAAATTGTTTCAATTTAATGTATGCTAAATTTCATGAGAAAACTCTTATTGGATATTTTTTACAACACATTAAAGTAGGCGACAAAATTGTGTGTGGGGTACTATGTATTAATATATACGGACTTGATGGATTTGGAGAATGATTTGAGCCCTTAAATGTTAAGAACATTAATCTTTTTTATTAATCGTAAGATTTAAGGGATCACTTTAACGTGATTATTGTCCGCATTTTTTGCCGATGCTATATAATTGAATATTGGCACAATCTTGAGTTTTCACGTAAAGATATAATTGCAACGGCATCCATAATCATGAACATTTTATTGAGTTGTAACATCACTCTACTATACCTTGCTTTTGGTGTTCATGAGCAACTCATTTGGCTTATTAGTAATGATTATGTATTTGTTTTTATTTGTCTGTTCCTTATGAATGGTTTATCGGTTGAAAGTTAGATGTTAGTAAGGCACTTTCAAAAATATATTAAACAATTCAATTAGACAAACAAAGTACCTTATGCATTTCTAGGTGTTAGGTATAGTAGTGTGAACATTAGACCGTGTTGGCTCACAGTCGCGTGTGAATCGTGTGAATACTATTGGCCAGACGGCGGGGCACGGCATGAATTCCAATACATACATGTACAAATAGTTTGACAGCAAGATATCCCAATCACACCAAATACAAAAATTATTTAATTAATTTAAAAATTACGATTAATATGACAGCTACTTTGAATCTGAAGAACCCACCAACAATTAAATACTCAAACTCCCCGGAATCTTTTGGCTACCGTGTCAAATTCTTTGGCCAAGTACGCGGTTGTTGCATTTCTTAGTCTTGCTCAAAGACTGTATCGACCCCCCCCCCGTCACCTTTACTCTCTTTACCTGGCAATATACAGTCTTGTAACCACTGATTTTATGCAGGTGCTGCCACCTTCCTAAACGGATCCGGAAATCATGAATTATTAATGAGGTTGAAACTATTTGATATATCAATATACCAGACATGCTTTCTTGTAGTGAGTTTTAGTTAGTAATACTTTTTATTTTATGCTTTAAACCTTTGTTAAGAGAAGGATTTAAGTTTAGAAAAGTATTTCTACACACAACAAGATAATGCCCTTTATGGGCGATTACGCCGTGATTATAATGTAAATTTATTTAATGATTTAAAATAAATGAGTATTTATTATTAAAAACAAGATAAAATCATGGAAACATAAGTGCAAGTATGAGGAACTATTTTCTTGGCAGTGAAGAGGCAATAACCATGTGCTGCTCTAAGAACAACAAAGAATCTGATTGGCTGATCAAAAGATCTTAAGAGATAACCATCAAGCATTAAAAATAATTCATATCAGTGTCACCTTACTGGTGGTAACGAGACCCTAGAGAGAAGGATAAAGGCAGGGGGGGGGAGTACAGGGTCTTTTAAACAAGACTATGCATTTCTATGAAGGAAACAATGTAAGATATACAGGGTGGGCCAAAAAATGCCACTTTTTCAAGACACTATAACTTTTAGTGCCATGGGTTCTTAGTAATAATATAATGTAACAAGTCCTTCAACTTGGATTATACTTGATCTAAAAGAGGAGTTAAATTGGTTTGCCACCCTGTTTGATGATAAGCTTTTAGTCTTAGTTGCCTTGCTGATATAGCAGTATCAGTGAAATGTTGGCTAAGTTTCTTTCAACCTGTCTTAATTGCCAGATTTAATTGGGCAATTTTCGATAAGTTGCCTTCATGCCATCTCCTGGAGACCTTCCCATACCCTATACTCACTGGGGATTGCATCAGGACTATTAGCTTGGTGGTCATCAGGCCGTATCAGTTCATGAACATTTTGCAAATTATGTTCATTTCTCATGGCACATCACATGTTTAAGTGAGACGCTGGTGACATATTTTATACAAGTAAAAGTGTACAATTCATAATCCATGGCTAGATAGCATCCTCAAGTTTCATTTGATATGCAAATTATGATTTTGTATAAAAAATTAAAAAAGTGGCGTTTTTGGCCCACCCTGCCTGTAGTGCAGTGCATAGCTATGTGACGTAAAGGGGTGTATGCACTGGCAGGCGAAATGCTTGATACGGGGGGCGAAAGGGCGAAATGCTTAAAATGGTTGAAATGAAAGAGAATGTGAAAACAGCTTAAGGTCAGGGTGCATGATGGGAAATTTTCTGCATTCCTCAATTGAGTCACATGTTATTTTTCAAACAAGAATCACTCGTTCCCCACATTGTCTATATTTTCCAGTTTTGCTCAAAGAGTGCACTTATGTCCCTAGAAAAGACTTGTGAGAAGAATGTTTTGATAAAGTGTATAAAAGACAAGAAAATTTAGTGAAAAAATTCAAAAAATTTTCAGAATTCTTTTTCAAATTTTCTCGTTTTTTATACATTTTACAAAACAAATCTTCTCACAAGTCTTTTCTAGGCACATAAGTGCACTCTTTGTGCAAACCTGGGAGATGTAGACAATGTGGGGAAGCAGTAATTCGTGTTGGAAAAATAACATGTGACTGAGGAATGCAGAAAATTTCCCAACATGCACCCTGGCCTTAAACGAATTGATTGAAATAGTTGAAACGGCGAAACAGGCGCAAGCAGCGAAACAGTAATTTAATTTTTCAAGAAGTATCGATTGAATTGATTGAAACGGTTGAAAAGCCCCGGCGAAATGCTCGAAACGAAAAACGCACATGCTCGTTTTTCTTTTCAATCGTTTATGTAGTTAGATTAGAAATGCTTGAAACGGCGAAACGGGCGCAAACAGCGAAACTTTAAATTCATTTTAAAGGCGAATCGATTGAAACAATTGAAATGCTCGAAATGACGCAAGCATTGAAACGTAGGAAATGATGCAAGCATTTAAACGATTGAACTGATTGAAACAATTGAAACGATTGAAAATTTATTTATAGTGTATACAGGGCTTAAATCAACATTTTGGTTAAACATAATGAGATCCCATGCACCCAAATGATGTGAATTTTTAATCACAATTGCACAGTTATTGAAAGGTTAAAACTCTATTCCTTCCAAGACGCATTCTTTTTATTTCTTCATGTACCATAGGAATTTAAATGTTTGTACATAACAAACAGAAATCATAATAATCAACCATTTTAAGAAACGTTTATGAAAGTATATTTTATGAACTTCGACTGTTACCAAAAAGTGGATACCCCGAGGAGGCGGAATTCTTAGGTGACGAAAATGTCACCGTCCTGAGGTTTAAGCGAACCCCTGTGTTTATTACATATCTCCCCCTATGGTGGTATGTTTGGGCTTAAGTTCAGCTTGTAGTATGCTCTGACAAAAATATGATTATTTTTGTGCTAAAATTGAAAAAACGTATGTTGAGGAATATGCCATATACCGCAGGTGAGTATGGCATATACCGCAGGTGAAAACGTGGTACAGATCGCCTGGATTCGATTGGTCGTGAGACTCTTCTCCAAATGTAGAACTAAGCTGAATTACGAATATTGGATTTATTGAGTACGTTTATTACTTGTGATTGCTGAGTGATACTTCTGAAAGTATCAGAAATGTGTAAATCGTGATTGCCAATACAACAATAAATTAATACTTGTGATTTTATAGCTTTTGTGTTCAATCTTTTTCGACTGTAGCTTTAGTTAAAACGTCACTCACAAGCTTCACGAACGTAGGTTCGTATATTTTATAATGTTTCTCTTGCTGTACATATTTGTCTCTGTAACACATACAAACAACAAGTTACCACTTGGGTATGCTTTTCAATGGTATCACTTGATATATTCAATGTACTGTCCTGTTCATTCATTAATCATTATAATTGTTCGTTCATTATAATCGTTCTTTCAATCGATGCAATTGGCAATTGCGTACTTCCGTTCTCATTGGTTGGCGTGTATGCCATATACCGCGCGTGAATCTGTCATACACCGCATGTGAATTTGCAAGTGTATTCGTTGCGAAATATGACATATATTTGTATAATGTTTACTGCGTAACATTTACATAACCTTTAAACATATTTTTTTTAAAATAGCTTATGGTTCTCTTTATCACTGTTACATACATATGTTTATGATTTTAATAAATCGATATTTAAAATAAGTAAAACATGTTTTTCCATGTCTAATGGAAATTAATTTGGTTGCTTTTTCTTAAACGTTTATTCAAAACGCACCCGTGATCATGACATTTTAGATTTTTGTAGCGTGTCATAACAAAATTGATTAAAACGTCATGTTCTGTATTGAATTTCAGGTCAGTAAGGTTAATCCAGTGAGATTACAGAAGATTATAATTTTAGAGTCAATTATAGAAGAAAGGGTTTTATAATATATGGTAACACGAAATTGGATTAACTTGTTTATCAAACCATTTTTACATTGTTGGGTTTATTTAGAGTTTGTTTCTATTTACTTAATTCAAACTGAACTTTGAAGGAGAACAACAGAAATTTGAACTATACTTCTATGCGGTTGAAAAAAGGAGAAAATAACTTATTCTACGGGCACGTTTTCTTGTGGAATCGATGAATTTGCGTGATTCGCAATGGCTTGGAGTAATGAAAAATATTGAACTGTGACACCAAAAAAGAAATCCAAAAATATTTCCAGCGTGAAGTAAGAACTGTACCAGGAACACATCTACTCGTAAAGAATCAAAAAAGTCTCATACCTTGCACACATAACTTGGAAATATCTCATGTATAATATAGAAATATATTGAAGAAAAGCAGGCAACATGGCAGAAACTACAGGTCGACGTGCGTCAAGGACAGTTCAGTCTCTCAAGGCCGAAAAACTGCCGAACATTCAACAAAACAATAGCGGACATTTGCGAAAGTCTTCTTTATTGGCTGTTCCTGGGCGAAGGATGTCACATGCTCCTGCTAATCGTTGGAGCGTGTCGTATAGTAACGATGGTGGCAGCGAGACGTCACATCCTTCTACGTCAATTGCAGGTAAAATTATAAACACAAATGCAAGGCTCCCTATATGCGTTATATGTATGTAACCCTGTGTTCAGAGGATGTAGCTCTAATCTAGTAGCTACACGGCCTATCAAACGTTAATGGTCCTCATCCAGCATGGGGACAAGTATACCCTTTCTATGTAATTTTGTGTGTATCAAAATTAATATTTAAGGAATATAACTAATTTCAAGATTTTTGAGATTCTTATTTCAAAGTTGGGTCAACGTTTCACTGAATAAACTTTTATTTCAATGCAGTAATCAAGGAACAATAAATATCATATAAGCAAGTACTATATATATGATTGGTTGAACGAATTTTGTCATGGTTGAATCATTGAATAACAATCAGTGTTATATTTGTTACAGGTCTTTTGGCGTCTAAAAAGTTTGCCAATCATTTAAAGAGAAGGGTCTCACATAGAAGAGCATCGAACAAATCACATTCTGCGGATCAAATTGTAAGTCTCGAACCAAGCTATCGTATGGAGCCAAAGACGGCATTCAATACAGCTGAAGTTAAATTACGCGTGGACGCCATTTTGTCTGAAAAGCTTCACAGCGCCACCTATACTCCTGCTTCTGCGAGTGCGTTTGCCCGGATGTTACCTGACGTCATCAAAGCGGAAATCAAGCTTCTAGGCTACGAACGTTATAAGATTATTTGTCATTTAACTATTGGAGAGAATCAAAGCCAAGGACTCGGGATTACAAGTAGATGTGTATGGAATGAAAAAGCTGACTCTTTTTCATCTTCCGTTTTCAAAAATGGTAGTATTTTCTGTTCAGCCATCGTGTTTGGTGTCTATGTAGACTAGCGACGTAAGCCTACAGACTGCCTTAAAGGTACCTGTGGGACCCTGTTTTTCTAAAGAAGGACCTTTTCATCCATGCATACATCATTCGCCTTATGATACACAGATTTTAAAGAACCTCTGTGGCCTTCTAGGGCTACTTTCTGTTGTTAAAAGAATGATCTGTAAATAAGAGAGCAAATTGCAATGTTAATGAGGTGTGTATAGGACAACCATGTTTCCACTTTTGTTAAGAAAATGTTCAGAAATATGTTCAAATGTGTATCTAGAAGTTAGGATACATCATTTATGGTTGTCATTGTCATATGATTAAGATTGCGAAAATTGTTGAATTTTAGTGAATCGACTGGTAGACATGACATATAAATGTAACGTAACATGATATGAAAGCGTTACGTGATATTATGACATAACATGACGAATAAGTGTAAGGTGACAATTGAGAGTGTAATGTGACAGAAGGAATCTCCACGAACGACAATGAAATACGATAGAATCCAATATAAAATGAAAATAAATTGTATAAATAAAATTATTCTACCAACTCTTAACTGACTATATAAAACCCAAAGGTCCAACTCAACTGAATGGACATAATCCTGTACAGAATATACTATAGATTGCTTATGTTATATAAGAGTAATTACAGCATATAAAACGGGTTTAAACAAATAAAAGGGAGAGAATATGCTTACAGAACGTTTCAAAAGAGCCTGATGTAAAGAATCGACCTGGTGTTAAAAAATTTGCTCTTGTTCATCCTTGTTAACAGAGAATTCACTCTACTATACCTAACACCTAGAAATGCATAAGATACTTTGTTTGTCTAATTGAATTGTTTAATATATTTTTGAAAGTGCCTTATCAACATCTAACTTTCAACCGATAAACCATTAATAAGGAACAGACAAATAAAAACAAATACATAATCATTATTAATAAGCCAAATGGGTTGCTCATGAACACCAAATGCAAGGTATAGTAAATAAAAACAAAGGATTCATCATCAACAATTGAAATGAAAGGAAGAGAGGATACACTATATGAATATGTGTTTTTTAGAAATAACAAAACAGATTTCATAAATGATCTTGGAAGCAATATAATTAAACAATTTAACGTGATAAATACAACTAAGAAAAGATAAGGTAATAAAATGAAACGCAGATTTTCTTAATGTTTCACAGCATATTTCTTAAATGATAATACAGTTTACCCAAAGCCTCGAGAAAACTAAATTAAAATGAGTTTAACGTGATAAATACAATTAAGAAAAAATAAGGTAATGAATTGAAAAGCAGACTTTCTTAATGATCCACAGCATATTTTCTAAATGATATTACAGTTTACCCCACATCCTCAAGTAAACCAAATTTAAATGAATTTATCGCACGGATGAAGCATTAGGTCATGCTGGTTTCCAGTAGCTGTTGTAAGACTGTAAAGGCGATGGGGCAAGACGTGATTCATATTCATTTGGTCGCCGTCAGCGAAATAGCATAAACGTCTACTGCGTTGACGGGCTCATGATGATTGCAGCTTGTTTTAGAGCAGCACTTGTGCTTTTGCTGATATGCTGGAGTCTATCAGGGATAGATGCAAAGAAGAAACCGAGGAAACCTACGTGCAAGGAGAGGGTACAGAAAGCTCAGGTAGAATATCATGATGTTGAATTTATGGTGAATAAAAAAATAATACATTTCGACAAATTTTACTTAAATAAGCATACATCGTATACAGGGTGCTCCAAAAGTAACAGGACTGGTGCTGGCATTTTATTTGATCTGCACCAAGTGTCTTCAAATTTTTACAAATTGTATTTTGAAGTATTGCATCCAGTACTCCCTCTTGGGGGTCAAAGCCACCATAACCTATAGTATAAATATACTACATTGATTTTAATTATAAAAAAACAACATTGCAACTTTACCATGCATGCTAACCCTACTATCACACCAAACTAGTTCTCACTGCGTTCTCGAAAACGGGCTTCAACTGTATACGAACGGACTGGACCTACTAAGAACCGTGTGGGATCTATTTACAAACTTCACCGAACGCACTCGAACGGGTAGGTCCTCTAGAACTTAGACAATGCTCAAAATGTTCTCGTGGTCGTCACGTTCTACAATTAGAACGAGTGACAACGTACTAACGAAGAGCTGGACGTACTACGAACGGAACCGTCGTACTACAATCCTACTAGGGACGTTTTAACAACGAGTTGAACTGTCTGAGGACGTGTTGAGAACGAGGTAGAACTAATTGCAAACGGGTTTAAACTGATTAAGAACGTATTTAACACTGCTTATGAACGAGTTAGCAAAAATATAGCTATCACACCAAACAAGTTGCCACTGCGTTCTTCAAAACTGTGTGCGAACGAAATGAACGTAGCTGCAACTTTCTAAGGTCTATTTACGAACTTTATGAACGTTCTCAGACGGGAATGTAATTTTACAATTTTGAATCGATTCAAAATTCGATGGCGACCATACCGTTCTATAATCAGGTCATAATGACCTTCTAGACTAAGGGACGCGTTCTACGACGTTGCACACCGACCTGGTGCGACCTGAACGAACTACGAACGAGATGGACGTATTGAAGACTGTTTAAGAACGAAGAAGCTAATTATTTCAGACATATTTCCCGACCACAGCCAGATTGAGCCCGTTTTACGACGTTTTCGTAGGACTGGCAAGAACGGGTAAGAACTAGTTTGGTGTGATAGGGGGGTAAACGAAGTAACCTAATGCAAAGAAACTATATAGAATATAATGGTAGAGCCATACGGGAAATAAAAAATGGAAATTATATAAAAATGATTACAAATTGGAAAGATACTTAACATTATAAGTGTGAACAAAATGTTTATTGTTAACGAATTGATGATACATTTATGGTCATATTGGAATGTTTGTTAAGTAATGCATTTTACTGTATAAATGTATCATTATATGTGAATGTCTTGTTATTGATTCTGTGAGGAAAACAAATGTTTGGTGTGAAATACAGTAAAATCTTGAATTTAGTAATGATTTTGATATGTATGTATGTATGTTTATTTATTCATTTATTTAAGTGCCTCGTGTAGTATACCTAGCCTATTTTAGGCTTATGGGGCACATTGTACAATACATTCGAAAACAATATTATGATAAGATTATTAAACGAACCTTGCTCTTTTAACAAGAGCAGCATTAAGGAATTTTCCAGCATAACTGAAAGTCCACAAAACGTTCATTAATATGCAATATTTCCCATTTCAATCAAATGTTCACTGATTGGGATGAATAATAACGATTTAGGGAATTTTATCATTACATTCTCTCATTTTTTAAGAACATTCTGGGTTCACTGTCGAACATCAAGGACGACTGCAACGTTAAGCTCACATGCCCGAGCGGAGAAACTCCAGGTATATCATTCATTCAAAAAAAGGGTATATCATTCACTACCTCGTTCCCTTTGAAACATGTTATCTTTGGACGTTTGACGGTAGAATTTCCAGTTGTTTCAATTCTTAAGGTTCAAAGCTTCGCCAATCAATGCCAACAATGCTAAAGTAAAATATAGCCTAATTAAGGAAATATCCGACGTATACATAATATGCTTAAGATGCGTGCTTATATTGAGGCGTGCGCAGCCATCTAAAATAAATTTCTATTTTACATATCGGTCAATAAGGTATATACTTTCTGACTGCCACATCTTGTAAGTTCTATATGATCGATCGACTTTACAATTCATTATTTCATAATTGCCGTCTTTTCATTATGCGCGGGTACAGTTGACAAGGAGAATGAGTTGACAGTTTTGGAAAGTATGAAGAGCTCTGTTGATCGTATGGCGAACTGCACATGCGCAAGAACGGGTACTGGTCGCCATGGTTACACTGTAAAATCAAATTATGAAGGTAAAGGAGGAAAGGGGAAACATTTGATACATTGTACATGTTTTTGGTAAATACATGTGTCACGTACATGTACACATACTACCGGATTTTCTCGCATATAAGCCCTGGGCGTATAACTGAAAGAAGGGGTAATTTCGTCTGTTATTTTATCTCTTATTTTTCGCCCATTTTTCGCGAATAAGTGTACTACTTTTGATTTTTGGCCCAGTGGGCGTAAAGGTGAGAAGAGCTGATGAATACAATGGTTCCTCAAAGACTACCGTACCTACTGTTGTAGTCCTACCGCATGTTTTGTAAGAATTATAAAGGAAATGTCACCTACAATTAACCTTGGACTTAATGTTGAAAAAAAGTAACAACATAACGATCCACCACTGCCACTTACGGCACAGCGTTGAACTTAATGTTGAAACAAAGTAACGACAGAACGATCTGCCAGTGACAAAATACTCTTGAATTTATTGAAAAAATCAATAAATAGTCATTTTTTATAGGCCCATGGGCGTATAAGCGTACTACATTCTATTTTTGGCCCATGGGCCTAAATTTAAGGGGGGGGCGTATATGCGAGAACATCCGGGTAACATTAGGATCGTGCTCCATGCGCAGAATATCAATTCTGAAAGAATTATTATTCACTTGGAGAAATTGAAAAGCATAAATTCATTTTTTAATATAAATACAGAATATTCTTGATAAAAATATATAATAAACTATACGTATACGTATAAATGTCAAGTCTGGGACGCATTCGACTTTAAAAACTTATGGATGTCTCCATTATGCCGTTCATCAGCCTTTGACTATCCTGTGATCTTCGAGGATGAAGTGCGTTGGAAGCTATTCTGGTGGTTCAAAGCGAATACTTCATGGCCAGCCCTGGTTAGCGATATCTTACAAGGTAAGTATACATTACAATCAGCCCTGGTAAATGGTGTCCTTCGGGTTAGATGTATATTGCAACCTGGTCCACATTGATCAGCTATGTTTTACAAGGTAAATGTATATTATAACCTGATCAACCCTGGTCAATGGTGTCCTTCAGATTAAATGTGTATTGCAAACTGGTCCACTTACAAGGTAAATGTATATTACAACCTGACCAGCCCTGGTAAATGGTGTCCTTCAGGTTAAATGTATATTGCAACCTGGTCCGCATTGGTCAGCTATGTTTTACAAGGTAAGTGTACATTACAACCTGGTCCGCATTGGTCAGCTATGTTTTACAAGGTAAATGTATATTACAACCTGGCCAGCCCTGGTCAGTGGTGTCCTTCAGGTTAAATGTACAGGGTGTCAATTTGCGCTGTGACCCCCTCCACAGCTAATACCGAGGAAGGCACCCACACAAACTATATATCAAATTAAAGCTCATTTAATTGGTCAGCTAAGTATTAGAAAATGGATGTATATTATAAACTGGCCTGCCCTGGTTGGTGATGTCTAAAGGTAAGTGAATACTACATCCAGACCCGACCAGGTCAGCGATGTCTACAAGGTAAATTAATATTACATACTGACTCGCACTGGTCAGCGATGTCTCCCGAGGTAAACGGATAATAAAACCTGACCGACTCTGGTGAGTGATATCTTTAAAGACATAAATCGTCGATTTAAATGTATGACATAGTAATGTATACCAATGTTTGCTAAACTGAACACTTTATACACAAGAACATGCTAGAATGTTAGAAGCGGGTCCTTGAGAGATGATAAACTATAGTTATAGTTGAAGAACGTCGTTGCACTGCAATTGAAATAGCCATTGTACTATGAAATAAAGTTGTACTGAGTTTAAATTACTAAAGTTCCATAGAAACTTTTGTATTTCAATTTTATCATATTTCTCAAGGCCCCGCTTCTAACATGAGCTCATTGCTCGCGATGTCAGCGGGGCCCGGATAGTCCCCGTGTGTATTGTATACTCCATTTCTGTGTTGCTGATATTTTATCAGGATTTATAACATCAATACATATCAAACGATGTTCTCTTACATTATGAAATGCCCATATAATGTATGCTACAGGAACGATAAGCTGAGATGCTCATCGTCGATGCCAACGGCGATGTATATATAGGTATTGCTTACTCCAACTTTATGTTGCTGTTATTTTATCAAGATATGTAACATCAATGAAACTTAAACGAAGTTCTCCTTCATTACTTAACAATCACATGCAGTGTAGTCATTAAGGGGGAAAAGAGACTGGTCATACGGACCTGTTGATCTTCAAAGTTAAGTGGTCCATATCAAAATAGGCTGGACAAAATGACCAGTGCCTCAAAAAAGTCCCTGGTCCGTATGAAATGTGACCGGTCAATCAAAATCTTGTTAAACAATAAAGAACAATATATCAACAAATTGTTTTATGAGTCATGTTTAAAATTAAATCACTATCATTCAATGAATGATCTGAAGAACACGTAACCTCTGATTATGACAGTTGTGATGAATTTGATGACACTGACAATGACTATGACTCGGAGAATGAACTTAATGTGGCCATTGAGGACCTTTTAAGGACCCTTTGATTTAATGTTACTGATTTAAGACAAAGAAGACTAAAAGTGCTTCTCTGATCTTAGTGGAATCCTTGGAATCCATAGAGGATATCCAAGATATTGAGCCAAATGTCACAGTGAATGTAACCATACCAGAAGCAATCTAAAACTAGCTAGAAATTGATTCGCTATATCGACTTTCGAAACATTTTATATTGTACGTTCGGTAATTTAATGTATCATTTCGCTATACCGGTTTATAAACGGTTGTTCTTAGAAAAAAATGAAAGAAAGAAATTATGAAAAATGAAAAGCATTCATGGCCGAAAAGTTCTTGATGTTCATCCAAGGAGGATTGGCTCCCAGGATCGAAACTCGATATTTTCCAACAATGAAAACGTCGAAATGTCGTTATTTTCTGAAATTAAAACCGACTATAAATTCAAAATAAACAGTTCAAAAGATTCGAACCAATATCTCGATCATTTCTTGTGAGTTTTGGAATTTTTCGTTTGGAAATAAGACCAAAATTCACGATTTAAATGTTGAAGTGAACAAAATGGCGGCTGTTTGAATTCGAATTTTGTATTACGACATACCCATATATGGGACAGAATATCGGTGGTGCACTCTGGGAGCCAATCCTCCTTGATGTTCATCGTATTTTTTAAATAGACACACAATTCTCAAATGGAATGCTACAAAAGAACAGTACTACCCAACCTCGTACATACATGTGCATATTATTCGGTAATGCCAAATTTATATTTGACATTAAAATTGAATTTTTTTGATTTAACACTCCTGTGATTCATCAGCAATTCGCTTTTTTCATTCGTCTGGACACTCCGACACTATATCAAAATTGAGTTCATTTCTATACTATCGTATTGAGGTCACCTAAATGTACAACATGATCAAGTCTTTACATTGTATTGTATTGTATTGTATTGTATTGTATTGTATTGTATTACATTGTATTGCATTGCATTGTATTGTATGTGAAGACAGTCCGAGGAACCCCTCCTCGAAGGAAGCCTGTGTTATTTCATGTGTACACATACATTCATTCTACTATACTGTACTACTGTAAGTCTTGCCTGAACATGGGATCGAATCCGGGAGCTTTTGCGTAATAATGATACACGCGCTACTGTTGAGACATACGGATGGTTTTTAGTATTTTGTTATTTTCCACGTTAGATCATGGTTCTTGGATATGTGAGAATTGTGTTCTAGCGAATGCCTAATTTCGAGCAATAGTGTAAATGATTTCAAAAAATAATTTACACTATCGCCCTCAATGACAGTCACTATTTGTATAATGTTATATAAAGTGAGGAATGGGCTCTCAAAGAAAATCCCTTTAAAGGGTGACGCATATCGTTTAGCAAATCGAACGCTCGTTTCTGGTGTTGCTCACCGTTTAGTATAAAAGGCCCGATCCCGGAATAATACTCAAGGGTTCACAGGTTCTAGGTCGTTGTGTCAACACCTCTAACTGTTATATAGCATATTAAGTATATTATAGATCGTCACACATTTATAAAAGGGTGATTTTTTATTTTGACAAATCAATTCCACATTTATGGGTGAAGTTTCAGGATCTTCTATTTGTGTACAATAAGGAAAAATTGGCATCTAAATTTCCCCATAACGTAATAGCACACAGCTTGGCATATGAAATATCCTACAAATGAAACAAAGCAAGACAAACCGGTTTCTTATACAAGGATTTATATTGGCTGTTGTACATGTATTCATTGAACGCAATCACTCTTTGGATAACGTTTTCAAAATCATTATGAACGGATTACTTTATCTCAAAGACAATTTCAATAAACTGGATTTTACAGAACTCCCCTTATTTTTTAAAAATGGACTGATCCAGTTGATTCGCCTGGAGCCGCCATATTGTTTTTATACGGGATGCTAATCGGAACCCTTTAAAGAGAATACTTACTTGTAATGTGAAGCCTCGACTTGTCTTTCAATATATCCAGGTAACGCAAGATAATTTAATTCCCTTGTTAAACGCGATTGAATTTTCCAAGTGAGAGTCTCAGACAAGAAATCCCTCACGAAAAAATTCTTTTGAGGAAATGACATTTTAGTAAAGCAATATTGATAACGGTTTATAATGGCAGTCAATAGGGATTTTCCAAAATTCAAAAGCCAATATCTTTGGAAACTAGGAAAAAGTAAAAATTTAACCCTTCTTATTTTGGAAATAATCATGTTATTGTAATAAACCAGCAATATGGGCTTTATTACTCTAGAACTGCTCTGCAGCCGGTCTTTTGAAAATTGATAAATTAACATGGGGCTCAATATAGGTTTTCTATAGTTGCGTGTGCAACTTAATGGCTAAATATTTCAAAAATAAGAAGTTTTTAGAAATGTGTCTGTTTGATTTGTTTAAATTCAATATATTAACAATAGAAATCTGCAATATTAGAAAATTCCATAGTGGACTTTTTGAGAAAAGGACACTTTAGTAAAGCCATGTCATGCAGTGGTTTCAGTAACTTTGTGTACAAGGGGCAGATGAAAAATACAAGAGGCGGCATTCAAAATAACCAATTTTACGCTCCCGACAATGCAAATTCTTGTTATTTTAGAGTCCATGGACTGAAAGAAAGATGTCCAAGGTTTGTCAAAGTCATTTCCACGTGTGATGTTGCAAGACATGGGCTCCACAAAATAACACCTAGAACTGTGGAATGACTAGGGCAACTTATGGAGAATGTCATTTACCTTTTATAAGATAACTTACCCTTACACAGGTTGCATTTCACAAATCCAAATGCACCTGTTGAATTGAACACTTTTGATATAAATCAAAATCTAGAATTGTCATTATTAAAATGAGAGTGATGTATTAATAGATGATTCACTTGTGGTATATCAGATTCATTTTAGTTTTTACCACCTCCAGACATTGCCAAGAGTGGTGACATACAGGGTGTCCCAAAAGTAACAGGACTGGTGCTGGTATTTTGTTAAATATGCACCATTTGTCTTCAAAATTTTACATAATGTACCTTCATGTTTTTTAACTAAAATTGCCGAATTACATAATTTTTGTCGAAACTGATTTAGAAATCCGCTGATGACTACTCATCGGCCGGCGCCCGGCGCATATGTGTCCTATGCATTAGAGAGAGACCGAGGTGGGAGATATCCCCCTCCCCTCTACACCAAACTTGTTCTCACACGTTTTCGAAAATTGGCTGAAAGGCCTCCTCACATATTATTAAGGAAAACATATCGACACATTTTGCGCATTTAACCATTTGATAACATATTGTGGATCTTATCTTAATTTGTTAATGTGAATTCACACCTTCATTAGCATGGAAGACTTTGATAAAATCCCTTTTTGATGATTTTTTATAGAAAGCTGATGTTTGGCTAAGCTTCGAAATTCCAAATTGAACAGTCTACTAAGAATACCATGTTGTAAATATTGTTTTCTTTATAATATGTCGAGCTAGGACTGCTCAAACAAATTCGCTTTTTGTAGCTACATGTACAAGTATTTAATTTCAATAGATGATAAACTTCTCAATATAAGAAATTACCCTCATAAGACATTGTTGCAAGGTGTGTTGCAATGAATGTGGCACCCCGCATTCCCGGGCCCGCATAATGTATTCTCGAAGACAGCCATCATGATAAACCATGACATCTCATTTCTTCTCAGCCCTGTGTTTCAGGTGAAACAGAAAGATGCCATGAGTATCAGAATGGAAAAAAGCATATATTTGCATTGATGGTATAGATAGTTATTTTATATAGTGTTTTAGTTGTACATGGAAACCGATTCTAACCAGGAAGGATATTGCAACTTTTTTCAAGATCCTAAAGTTGCAATTCTCGTTATTGTGTTTCATTGTAAAGACGCACCTATGAAAGTGTGTCTCTGATACAAAGGCGTAGTTCTACATTAATTTAAGATACACGTTTGTACGTGAACATGTAGAATTATGGACCTGGTAGATTTTTTCTCCCTTTTGTACTGTTAATACTTGGCCGGTTGAGTATATAAAGGTATGCATGTCCCAGCTTTTGGTAAGTGGGGGGTCAAACCTCCCCCCCCCCCATCCACACATACACTTTTTATCATGCTTAAGTAACTTCTCATTGTAATTACAAGGGATGTTATAAACGAGACTCCAGGATGATGAAGTAGGTGTACAATATATTTCCGCGTTTGCGCGGAAGAAAATTAGGGCCCAAATCTTGAGAAAGAGTCAGAGGAATGCGAGGCGAATCCTGGAAACTCGGGTTCGGGAAAGCGGGGTTCACTGTTTGGTTCCGTTGACACCTCTGCGAAACTACATTCATAATTTATCCGACAGTCGCTTTGATAATGTTTCTTTATCTCGTCTGCTACTCGATAAAAAAGAATTAACAAAGCTCATCAAGAATGGATGATCTTGCACAGGTACTCATATAAGAACCTCTATATCTTTTTAACAGCAATATATAACGGACACACTATGTTAAAATTAAATGTTATATCTAATGTGCCAATTCAATGATTTAGCATATCGAAAATATTTTCAACCTAAGTGACCACATCGTGACATCACTTAGGTGGTAACATTTTTCAATGTCAATCTTTTCTTAATATGCTAAACTTAAAAAATAAAACAATTTTGACTGTCTAACCAGGTTAAAGGATGAATATGTTTTTAATATTATTTTACCATTGGTTTCTATGAGAATTAAAATTTTGAAATGCATCTTTCTCTGAACCACTTTCATGCATGGATGAGTTCATTGCTCTCTCATCTATCAACCAATTTTCTTGATTTTATCGGCAAAAAACAAGTGAGGATGATTGCTATGCATCGGTGTGAATTATCGCTTTAAAAGATAAGTGTGACCTCTTAAAGTTAATTTTAAATAAATTCACGATATTTTTTTACAAAAAGTCCTTCAAAAACATTTTTGAAATTAATAAAAAGTTTCACATTTTCACGCTTTGATAACATTGGATAAGACAAAAATATAAGCCAAAGTGGTTTAAACTTTATATGGGGCCTTTAACTGATTAATAGTACGATAACGTCATTTCTAAGGGCAATATAGTGAAATATTGGACCGAGGGCCGAAGGCCCAAGGTCCAATATTTCACTATATTGCTCGCAGAAATGACGTTATTAGTATTATTACCACCGTTAACGACCAGGACTGAAACAGCAAGAAAATCTTACGCACTGAACGATATCCAATTTCCCGGGGAAAATTGCCGGTCCAGAATATATTCTAGACCGGTCCATATGGACCACCACTATGACGTCACACATTTCTCAGGTCGATATAGTAAAATAAACGCCTTCTAAACTAGCACTAAAACCCCTAGAACTGGCTCGGCAAGGTGGTAAAAATAGTACAATAACGTCATTTCTAAGGGGAATATAGTGAAATATTGGACCGAGGGCCAAAGGCCCAAGGTCCAATACTTCACTATATTGCTCGCAGAAATGACGTTTTAAGTATTATTACCACCGTTAACGACCAGGGCTGAAATAGCAAGAACATCTTACGCACTGAACGATATCTAATTTCCCGGGGAAATATTGCCGGTCCAGAATATATTCTAGACCGGTCCATATGGACCACCACTATGACGTCACACATTTCTCAGGTCGATATAGTAAAATGAACGCCTTCTAAATTAACTAGTACTAAAACCCCTAGAACTGGCCCGGCAAGGTGGTAATTATACAATTTTACACCCATTAGAAAGACTGTACTGTGACTGGTTGTACAGAGTTATATCAGTCATACATGTAACTGCATGTCCAGTGGAAAATAACCAACTCTGATTATACCAAAGGTTGGAATTTGAATTATCATGCACATGATAGTGGTTAGATAGTGATCTAAAATGCATAGCCCAAACGGGTACAAAATTCGACGGTGTTTACTACTATAATGAGATCAAGTGATCTTTACGATTATAGTGAGTTCCATTGCAGTTCGAAACTGAGGTACAAATCATAGACAAGGAAGTGCAGAACAAGATCGCTGAATAAAATAAAGGATAGTCTATAGAAGACTTTTATTTTCCCCCAAAACTATATTTGACTTCTAACAAACGGCGAATTATCGAAAGCAAACGGCGATTTCGGACACTCGCCCCCTGCTATCGAAAGTCCAGCATGTTGATAGTGGTTTATAATGGCAGCCAATGGAGATTTTACAAAATTCAAACGTCAATATCTTTGGAACAAGGGAAAAGAAAAAAATTAACCCATCTTGTTTTGAAGATAATCATGTTATTGTAACATACTAGGAAAATGGGCTTTATTGCTCTAGAACTGTTCTGCAGGGGGTCCTTTGAAGATCGCTAAATTAACATTGGGCTCAATATAGGTTTTGTGTGCAACTTAACAGCTTAATATTTCAAAAATAAGAAATTTTTAGAAATGTGTCTGTTTGATTTTTTTTAAGTCAATACATTAACTATAGAAATCTGCAATATCAGAAAATTCCATAGTCAACTTTTTGAGAAAAAGACATTTTATTAAAGCCATATTGATAGCGGTTTATAATGGCAGTCAATGGGAATTTTCCAAAATCCAAATGCCAATATCTTTGGAACTAGGCAAAAGAAAAAATTTAACCCTTCTCATTCTGAAGATAATTATATAATTGTAACATACTGGGAATATGGGCTTTATTACTCTAGAATTGTTCTGCAGGGGGTCTTTAGAATATTGATAAATTAACATGGGGCTCAATGAAAAAATGCAAAATTTTCAAGGGCTGCTATTATTAAATGGGGGCACTTTTCATTACCACTTCGTCAGATATCAAAACTATATGTATTAAGGATACTTTGGTCAAAAAATGGTGCTTTATATATAGCAAGTGCAATTGAACAGCTAACTGGCCCCACTATTTTAAAATAACTGGTTTTTACAACGACTATATCATGCCGACATGGGCGTTACTTCAAAGCTGCCAAACAACCACGTGGTGGTGTTATAATAATTGATTGCATTCATGTAATAACGCACAATATAATATAATGGTCCATTGTCAAACAATGAAGTTTGACGAAATAAAAAGTACTATACATTATCCCCAAACTGAAAAATAATATATAGGTTTATATATTATTTTCATTTACAAATAAAATTATATCGTTTTATTTACAATGGTGAAGTTGTGTGCTTAAAGAGCAAAGTTTTGGTTAGGGTCCAGCGGATCTTTGATCGGTTGCTCATAATGACAGCGTGCGTATAGCCGCCAAAAAGCAACATGGTGCATAATTGCGCGCTTGTCAAATAAAAACCGGTTCAAACAGGATACCCACTTAATATCCATCTGAAAACGACTTCGGTGTATTCATTCTGGATTCAAGACGAAACAAGCAAGGTAGGTGCAGTGTTAAAAATGTGTTGAAATAACGTCATTGGGCATTGCAGGTCTGTGGAAATAATTAAATATGATTAAAATAAAATATTCACATCAGTTTGTTGAAATGATAGGCAATGGACGTCTATGAAAATAGTCAAATAGTAAAATATCATTTTAATTTTATAAATAGATTCAAAAATTCTAAAAGGCGTTTGATTGCAGGGGTATTATGTTTCAGAAAATTAAACTTGTACGATGTTTCATAGGAACATAAAACCCTATTGTTTGCATAGTTATTACAACGGTGCTTCTATCGTCTTTAAAATTTGAAAATAAATTAATAGGATTGTTTATAACGTTTTTCCTTCAAAAGATCATCGACAATAATTAAGTGAGGAAAAGAAATAAAAACTGAAATCGATTGAAATGTGCAGGGATTTGACATTTTGAATTATGATTTTGATCTTAAATGAATATATCTTTAAGTAATGTTTACTCGGGGTGGAAAATTTTCTAAGAGGCTCCGTTAAGGAAAAAATGACTTTTTGAGCTGGATGGACTTCCTCTGTATTTTTTATTCTATTAGGGTGTCCTGCATAAGGGGTTTCGCCTGCGAAGCATATAACTCTTGCGAACATATCTAAAAACTGGTCCGAAGAAGACATACCTTGAATTTTTAGAAAATAATTAGCTAAAAATGGAAACTACTAAAAGTCAAAATGTTCAACTCATACAAAGTTGTGGCTATTCTATATCAATATTATGTGTTGTGTAAGGTTTCTCAGATGTTTCAGGACCTTCATTAGTATACCTGTGTCTAGAAATGTGACATTTAAGGACAAAATTTGGCATTTTTTAATCATTTTCGCCTTCAGCATTAACATATAGTTCCTTATATCTTGAGTTTTATGCTGACTGGTTGTTGCAATTTTGATTAAATGTGTGCTTGTACATGTGTTCTTCTATTTAAGGTATAGAAAATGTATAGTGGACAACCAATGCTCGTATGAGAGCTTTCAGATCTCCCCTACCCCATTTATTATGCAAAATTACCGAAAAATATGAAAAAATAAAATAACTTGAAATTATAAACGCTAACAAAGTTGTAGCTATTCTATATAAATATTATGTGTTATTTAATGTTTTTAAGATTTTTAAAAACCTTTATCGGTATACAAGTGGCTAGAAATGAGACATTTAAGGACAAAACTTTGCATTTTTTTTATCATTTTCGCTTTCAGCAGTAATATATAGTTCCTCATATCTTGAGTTTTATGCTGTCTGATTGTTTCTTTTTCAATCAAATCTGTTCTTGTGCATGTCTTCTTCCATTTAAGGTATAGAAAATGTATAGTGGACAAATAATGTTCACATTAGAGCTTTCAGATATCCCCTACCCCATCTGTTATGGAAAATAAATGAGAAATATGAAAAAATAAAATAACTTCAAATTATAAACTTTAATAAAGTTGTAGCTGTTCTTTATCAATATTATGTGTTATTTAATGTTTCTAAGATTTTTAAAAACCTTTATTGGTATTCAAGTGGCTAGAAATGAGACATTTAAGGACAAAACTTTGCATTTTTTTTTTATCATTTTCGCTTTCAGCAGTAATATATAGTTCCTCATATCTTGAGTTTTATGCTGTCTGATTGTTTCTTTTTCAATCAAATCTGTTCTTGTGCATGTCTTCTTCCATTTAAGGTATAGAAAATGTATAGTGGACAAACAATGTTCACATTAGAGCTTTCAGATATCCCCTACCCCATCTGTTATGGAAATTAAACGAGAAATATGAAAAAAATAAAATAACTTCAAATTATAAACTTTAATAAAGTTGTAGCTGTTCTTTATCAATATTATGTGTTATTTAATGTTTCTAAGATTTAAAAAAACCTTTATTGGTATTCAAGTGGCTAGAAATGAGACATTTAAGGACAAAACTTGGCATTTTTTAATCAATGCTGCTTTCAGCAATAACATATAAATCCTTATATCTTGAGTTTATGCTGACTGGGTGGTGTATTTTTTATTAAATCTGTTCTTGTACATGTCTTCTTCCATTTAAGGTATTGATAATGTATAGTGGACAAACAATGTTCATATTAGAGCTTTCAGATCTCCCCTACCCTATTTATAAGGGAAGATGACCGGAAAATATAAAAAATAACTTCAAATTACCAGTATAAACTTTAACAAAGATGTAGCCATTCTTTATGTGTTATTGAATGGTATAATTAATGTATAGAAATTAGACATTTAAGAACAAAATTTGGCATTTTTCATCAATTTTTCATCATTTCCACTTTTAGCAATAACATATACTGTATTTCCTTCTATGTTGAGTTTTATGCTGATTGGTTGATGGATTCTTGAACAAATCTGTTCTTTTGCCTGCCTACTTTGATTTAAGGTATTTAAACATGTATATTGGACAGCCTGTCATTATATTAGAGCTTACATATCTCCCCTACCCCATTTATTTTGAAAAAATAACCAGAAATATAAAAACCAAACAATTTCAAAGTATAGACTTTAACAAAGTTGTCGGTATTCTAGATCAATACTATGTATTATTTGATATTTTTCAGATGTTTCAGGAACTTCATGAGTATACAAGTCTAAAAATTAGACTTTTAAAGTTGAGTTGCAAATGGGGCGGGTATTCTCTATCTTTGTCTATTTGGGCTTTCTGGTAATAATACGTTGCAAACTGCTCATGAATTTATGCAATGTATAGTAGAACACTTGGGATATATTTAAATGTAATGGGGTATTTAGTGTGATAATTATAACCAGTGATCAAGCCATATTGGTTGAGTTCCCTCATATCAATTGCAATGTTGTCAAAGGCTTGGCCAACAAGATGATTTTGAAAAGGATTACAAAATGACAAGCTGTCTTTGGTTTGTGATGCAATGTTACTGTATCTCTAAAATGGGATGAATTTCACTTATGGCAGAGCTGCTATTAAAGTTTGCAAAACTGATAGTTGCAACAATCTATCAAATACTAATCATGAAGAAGTTGACACTCTCCTTATGGCCCATGTCTAGTACGGTTCCTAGTCAACTCGGACCCTAGTTAACTCGGACCCTAGTCAACTTGGACCCTAGTCAACTCGGACCCTAGTCAACTTGGACCTATGTATTTTTTATATTTTTCCTCAGTTGAGCATTAAAATGATAAGGTATATATAAAAACAACATTAATCATATATAATTGTTAGATAGAACAATGGTTGATAATGGTGAAAAATAATTCTGACACTTTTGAGTCAATCATAAACCATTCAGCCTGATTGTGAAATCATATACTGGTAGGAATAAATATTAAATAACCAAGATTTTGATTTTACATGAAACCAGTTAATTTGTCTTCCAAACAAATAGTATGTAACAATAAATTAGAAATTCAAAGGTGAATTAAATGTTGTTGACCTCAATTCTTCAAACCAAGTTAAAAGGGGTAAACATGTTTGTAAACAATTGAAAGCCCATGATTTTTAAGGAATTTCTTATAATGAAAGTAAAAGATAAAGTTTCAAATCAAATGATAACACCATATTTGATAATTTTGTAACTTGTATTTGCAATTCTTTGATTTATTAAATCAAAATATATTTCAAATTCCCTACTCATTGAATATTTTACTAAGGTCACCAAATTATTTAATCTTTGTATTTCCACATTTGAAGCTTTGAAATATGAAATAATCATGGATTTTCGACAAAGAGAAAGTAATTTTACACACATGTTTAGAAAATGAAATTGGAAATAAAATTGTTTAAAACACAAATGCGCTAACACATTTCCCTATACTGTATATTGGAATTAATGTAATACCTCTATATTTTGTTTACTTCAACACCCTAATTTAATGCTTATCAGAGGATACAAGATTTGTTAATTAGGTTTCTTAGTCAAAGTTATTATAACAGCATTATACACAACAGGCTAAATTGAATTCATTTTTTAAAGACATAGTATAGTTCCAATTCTATATAAAGTCAATATAAAATGAATCAAAATCATTCAAAATCATTCTCATTTAATTATAAAGAGTTATTTGATCCCACATGACGCAAATAGCATAGAAGTATAAAGGTTGTAAAGACTGATTTTGACTCATCAGAAATATACATAAACATCATTATTTAAAGATTTCAGTAATTAATTGAATTATATCTTAAACTATTCCAATATTCTTAATATTTTGAAAGTTAATTGCTTTCACCTCTAACATAGCAAAATACCTCTGATTAACGTATACATAAAAATATTGGGTGAGACTTGAGATAATGTATGCGGCGCCAGTCAAAATTGAAACTTCTGATTGGGTTCGAAGCCGAGATGCCCGGATATGTCCCAGCAAAAGCCGGAATTCACGTGATTTTTCACGAAGAGGGGGCGGAGTTTAAGCGAGATTCATCGAGACTTCTTCGTGTCAATCGTGTCAATCCCTGCATTGCTTATTGTTAACTCCACCTTTTTGCCCATATATGGAGATGGAGATGCCACTTGCGAGCGTGAACAGTTCAGTCTAGAAATAGAAATTTCTTAAGCGATGTCTTTTTTCAATTTTTCTACACGATATCTCGATAAATAGTGGACATATTTGTACCATTCTTTCGTCAAAATGAGGGTATCGCTGGAATACATATTTCCAATCTGTTGGTCAATAGATTTATTCATTGATACTGGCAGGAATTAGATCGTAATAAACATGCTAAAATTGTAAAACTTGTTTATATTAAATATAACTGGGTCCAAGTTAACTAGGGTCCGAGTTGACTAGGGTCCGAGTTAACTAGGGTCCAAGTTGACTAGGGTCCGAGTTAACTAGGGTCCGAGTTGACCAGATACCTCTAGTACAGTGCTGCAGACATGACAAAGGAATTCAATGTTAAAGGAATATTCCTTGCCAAACACATCTCTCTCCTCATATGGTAGCTATTACCATATATATGCTTGCCATGTTTAGCAAAACACGCAAAAATGTTTTGATATGGTCAAATTTGATCACTTAGAAACATATGTCCTAATATTTTAGGATGAGTTTCTCAGAACTATAAAAATTATTTAGAGATCTTTACATATCTAAATATATAGCTTGTGGTGTCATGAGCAACTTAGACATTTAAAATGACTGAAATGCAGCTCTAACATAGAACCAGGGAGATATTAAAAATCATGCTGTTGCTGGATTAAGTTCGAGAGTTGTGAACAATCATAGTTATAGTTATACACGGGCTTCTAGAGTTTCCGCGTATATTGAGTATGACCGGTTCTTAGGCTACGAATATGACCTGTTTTGGAAAGTCATGAGAGGAACAGCTGCTCAAAAATGGAAAATAAAGGTTAACTTCTATATTATCCTTTTTGAAATTGTGTTTGTTGAATATAGTTTATGCTGTATTTAATATTAATGTAACAAAAAAATGTTAAACATGAGCTATTTTAGCAATGTAACTGTTCATAATGGAATATCAATCAGAAAGTACAGATTTCTCGCCTTAGAGCCAAATCATTAATATCACAGTAGAAAAAAACAAATCCCAAACCTTTTTATGGCTAACCTGAACAAGATCTCCAAATCTCAGTTTATATAATCCCCCGTAGAGGGATACGCTTGTGAAATGTCATGGAAACGAGTGTAACACGGTATCCAAGACATTTCACAACCGTATTCTCCAATAATGGGGCACCAGTGACATTCGTATTCTCAAAAATTCAAAGATGTATCATATTTGGACAGAGCAGGCTAAATTATTTAAAATATTCATGACTAATTCGTAGATCTACCTATATATTTTACATAAGATGTGTCATCCTCTTCGGAGTTGCGTTGTGTTACAAAAAAACTGATCAAAGATGCTGGAAACTAGGATTTTACGGCTTCAATCTAATATCAATACGTTTTCTCTTGATTAAGGCCCCTTGTGATATATCTGGCATTATAAGTATACCAAGTATCATTCATTGACCAAGTAGGATAAAAAGAAAACGTTCGAAAGAGTTCATAAAAAGCAATTACTCACCTCGTCTGTTTATAGGAACAGAAATACGGTCACACTCGTATGCTTAGAAGTTAGAACCGGTCATACTCAATATACGCGGATACTCTAGTAACCCGTGTTATAGCTCCAATACACTTTAAAAAAATCATTAAATTACATATATTAATTAAACCTTGAAAAGTAATGGCAAGCAGGCTTATGGCAGCATGTTAAGTTCCGCATTGAATTCAAATACTTGTATCATTTCAATTTTAAAAGTCAAAATTCTACATAAAAATGTATACATGTATATATATACCACGGGCTTCTAGAGTTTCCGCGTATATTGAGTATGACCGGTTCTTAGGCTATGAATATGACCTGTTTTGGAAAGTCATGAGAGGAACAGCTGCTTAAAAATGGAAAATAAAGGTTAACTTCTATATTATCCTTTTTGAAATTGTGTTTGTTGAATATAGTTTATGCTGTATTTAATAGTAATGTAACAAAAAAATGTTAAACATGAGCTATTTTAGCAATGTAACTGTTCATAATAGAATATCAATAAGAAAGTACAGATTTCTCGCCTTAAAGCCAAATCATTAATATCACAGTAGAAAAAAACAAATCCCAGACCTTTTTATGGCTAACCTGAACAAGATCTCCAAATCTCAGTTCATATAATCCCCCGTAGAGTGAGCAAGAGAAGGATTTATCTTTTCCCAGAGGATACGCTAATTGTGAAATGTCATGGAAACGAGTGTAACACGGTATCCAAGACATTTCACAACCGTATTCTCCAATAATGGGGCACCAGTGACATTCGTATTCTCAAAAATTCAAAGATGTATCATATTTGGACAGAGCAGGCTAAATTATTTAAAATATTCATGACTAATTCGTAGATCTACCTATATATTATACATAAGATGTGTCATCCTCTTCGGAGTTGCGTTGTGTTACTAGTGGTGTCAATTAACAGCTTGAGCATTAACCGGTTAACCGGGGGTTTTTACCGGTTAAAGTCGGTTAACCGGCGGGAAATTTGAACTTATAATTTCAAATGAAATCTTCATCTTCGATCTTGAAAGTTGAAAAAATTGGAAACATGATATATCGGCGTTTATTTTTTACGTTCGTTAAGCTTTACGCTATTCTATGTAAGTAAGCGCGGGAAAGCAATGTGGCAGGGATTAAAGTTGCTGATTGGATGTTTGTAAGGAATTATCGGACCTATCACATGTATGAGTAGCTCACATGAAACTGACGCTTAAAAAACAAACAGATTAAAATGCAAAGTAAGCGCGGGAAAGCAATGTGGCAGGGATTAAAGTTGCTGATTGGATGTTTGTAAGGAGTTATGGGACTTATGACATGTATGAGTAGCTTACGTGAAACTGACACCATAAAACCAAACGGATTAGCATGCAAAATAAGCCCGGGAAATAACAGAATTATACACGGTCAACTAACCGCCCATAAAAACTCAGACCGGTCAAGGCATTATCGGCGGTTAACCGGTTAACCGGTTAATACTTGACACCTCTACTGTTACACAAAAACTGATCAAAGATGCTGGAAACTAGGATTTTACGGCTTCAATCTAATATTAATACGTTTTCTCTTGATTAAGGCCCCTTGTGATATACCTGGCATTATAAGTATACCAAGTATCATTCATTGACCAAGTAGGATAAAAAGAAAACGTTCGAAAGAGTTCATAAAAAGCAATTACTCATCTCGTCTGTTTATAGGAACAGAAATACGGTCACACTCGTATGCTTAGAAGTTAGAACCGGTAATACTCAATATACGCGGATACTCTAGTAACCCGTGTTATAGCTCCAATAGACTTTAAAAAAATCATTAAATTACATATATTAATTAAACCTTGAAAAGTAATGGCAAGCAGGCTTATGGCAGCATGTTAAGTTCCGCATTGAATTCAAATACTTGTATCATTTCAATTTTAAAAGTCAAAATTCTACATAAAAATGTATACATGTATATATATACCACGGGCTTCTAGAGTTTCCGCGTATATTGAGTATGACCGGTTCTTAGGCTACGAATATGACCTGTTTTGGAAAGTCATGAGAGGAACAGCTGCTTAAAAATGGAAAATAAAGGTTAACTTCTATGTTATCCTTTTTGAAATTGTATTTAATAGTAATGTATACCACGGGCTTCTAGAGTTTCCGCGTATATTGAGTATGACCGGTTCTTAGGCTACGAATATGACCTGTTTTGGAAAGTCATGAGAGGAACAGCTGCTTAAAAATGGAAAATAAAGGTTAACTTCTATATTATCCTTTTTGAAATTGTGTTTGTTGAATATAGTTTATGCTGTATTTAATAGTAATGTAACAAAAAAATGTTAAACATGAGCTATTTTAGCAATGTAACTGTTCATAATGGAATATCAATCAGAAAGTACAGATTTCTCACCTTAGAGCCAAATCATTAATATCACAGTAGAAAAAAACAAATCCCAAACCTTTTTATGGCTAACCTGAACAAGATCTCCAAATCTCAGTTTATATAATCCCCCGTAGAGTGAGCAAGAGAAGGATTTATCTTTTCCCAGAGGATACGCTTGTGAAATGCTTAGAACCGGTCATACTCAATATACGCGGATACTTTAGTAACCCGTGTATATACGTTATTAACTTGGAGGGCGAACGTTTCCAGTTCGTCCCCAGTGAATGTATATGTGACGCCCCAGATTGAAGGCAATTGAATGGGCAATTTAAATATTAATTTTAATGCGTTTGGTGTATAAGATGGACTCTGTTTCAGATGCAGTTTAGATTCAGTTCCGTACTTTTTCTTGGACTGGTAGCAGTCCTCCTTTGCAGCCAATTTACTGATGCATACAGGGATTTACCATCCGAATCAGATATAATTGAATCATTATTGGCTAGACTCTTGGAAAGGTAAGGTTATGATTGAAACAGGGAACCTTGATTGTCAATAGTCATTTACATTTGGTCAGATGAGGTTCAGATTAACGCAGGGAACCTTGATCAACATGGTGCTTTATCACTATTTGCACCATTTGGCCAGGTGAGGTTGTAATTAAAGCAAGAAACCTTAATTGCTGATAGCCCTTAAGCCTAATCACTATTTGCAATAGTTGGTCGCGTGATATGCTTTGATTTGTATATTTTGTAATGTGTGGTCTGCTTTTGAATAACGAAAAATTAAAAATGCAATAATTTAACTTCACCAAGAGAATTCTCGGTCGAGTGAAATATTATAATTAATATATATTTTTATTATAGCGAGAAAAGAGATTTGCCGCCTGTCCCGAAAGTAGAAGAAGATTCAACTTTGTTGGAAATGTAAGTATATCGAGTCAAAGTGAATAATCAATGATTGCCAATCATATACAACAAATACAGAATTTTTTTAAACCAATAATTTTGCCATTTTTGAAATAATTTTATCTTGAAATGTGTTTATTTTTTTTTTTTTGGGGGGGGGGGGTATAAACCTTTTTGCATTAGTCACAGAACCACGACAGCGAACGATGTGATTGTTATAGAATTTTATGATTTAATGTTATATTTTTCTCTGACCAAAGGCCATCGGACGAAAAGAAATACGCATTAACAAAACCATAATAAACGAGAGCTTTTGATATAAGTTATTTGTAATACGTATAGGCAAACCTTTTACTTTTACTTCTACTTTACAAGACAGACGTAGCGCTGGAGAAAAAATATATTTTAAAAGATAGGGTACTTTCATCCATCAAGTTGTACTCAAACCATTTTACTCAATCTAGATATATTGCAATCGTATCATTTGAATCCGAAATTAGTATATTATCATGATGATAAAAAGTCAGCACTTCTCTGTTTTCGCGGCAAAACTCAGATCATTTTTCAGAGCAAAAATTTAAAGTCACGTGACACGTGTATGGTTGAAACAATTTGCCGCGAAATACGATTTTGTTAATAAAAATGAAACCCCGGGTTTCAAAAACAGTTATTCGCTTTTATGTTGAGCCAATTATTGCATAATTGGGGCTATTCTTATCAATTTTGTGAAGGGTATCATAGCACTTAATTGCAATAGAGTGCGGGATCAATGACTCGTATATGTAATGGTAAATATTGCAGTGCTCTTTTCTAAAGTCAATTACATCTTTTTATTTCATTTTTGGAATGCGTGTGAATGTGAAACTAATGCATTTTTTACTTTGGTTTAGCCATCATTGTAGTTTGCAACAACAACTTTTCGATTTAGCGCCAGAATAACTTGGCACACGGTACGTCAAAACCTGTAATGGTCAGGTGACCTCAAAAAGTACTTAAAAAATAACAACATTTTAGAGAATTTTAACAAATCGTGTTTTTTGGTGAAATATCACAAGATTTGAAGCTATAATAATTTTTGTGCTAAATAAAAGCTCATAAGAGATTTGAAATTGGTTTGGTACAACTTTCAAATCACAACAACTAAATTTAATGTTACAGTAAAAGGCTGAGTTTATAAGTAAGTTTATAAGTTTATATCAGAAGCTGTCTAATCATTTAAAAAATGTGGATAACCCTGCCATAGTTGATTTGTATTAATGTAGTGTGTTGTGAAATGTCATTTTGCTTCTATCGGACAAATTTCGAGTTTGAGAATTCTACAATTGGTCAAATTAAAGTACTTGCTGATTATTTGTATCATTCAAAATGGTGTGATTATATACTCGTTTATGCGCTAAACGAGTCATTAGTCAAATTATTCGATTTAAAAGTTCGAATTCTGATTTAATTCTGAAAACAAGTTTGTATTTGCGCTATAGGATCGTCATTCCACATTATAAATTTCCATGCTATCTATTTCTTTAAATTCACCAATGCTTAGTTAGGCTGGATACATCGATTATATTATCTTTAACATTTTCCTTTTGAAAACGGTCATTTGAAATTTTATTCAAGTTCACTTATTTAATTTGGGGTTTAGATTTATGGTATTTGTTCATGGTGTAACGATCCTAGATACGAAATTACTACTACAGCCAAGCTACTAAAATCCTATGTCGCTCAGCTGGTAGAGCATCAATTTTTTGATCCAAAGGTCCTATGTTTGATTCCTACATGGGGTATTGGCATTAACTTCTTCCAATTTTTGTATCTTGTCACACTATGTTGCTCATTAGTTATAGTCATACCCCGGGGCACCTTCGTATCATTACAAAAGAATCCCTTGGACGTTACAAATTATCCTAATTACGAATACTCAGATGGTCACACAGTGTAGTCAAATAATTTTAATTTCACAAAATGAAAAGCTCAGCGTATCTCGAGTTGGCAAGTTTCAAAACTCACCAGGACACACATCTTAGGGTAGAACTGACATTTAAACATCATCTATAATAGCATGTTATTAAAAAGGAACGACCAAAGCCAAAACTTGATTATATACAAGTCAGTAATTATTTGGCAAACATTATCTAAAGTTGTGCTGGATTTGATTTTGAGTTTGTAATTCAAAATACTATAAATACTACTTGTATTTAAAAACCTATTTGGAAACATGTTCAAACTGCCAAATGCAATGCAAATAAGGCTCAAAACTCATAAATTGAATACTAGATGCGAGAAGGAATAATCTTAATTTACGTCATAAAATATTCAAAATTCAGTCAAGATGATGTCATATTAAAAATTTACATCTAAAACTACATCTAGTAATATGTATTTTTTAAATTTGTTTGTCAATTATAAAAGGTTGATATTTTTGAAAATGCGACTTCTAGTTCGGGTTGATTCCCCAGAGACCCAATGTTACAAAATCACAAAAGGTTGAGTATCTTTTCTTGTATTGGACAGATAACATGTTCTTTTACTGGAGATATTTTAATTTGCAGAATTATTAGATACATAATGATACATTAGAGTGATATGAAAATTGAACCACCAAAACAGATATAATTGAAGTTAAAGAGAACTTTCTACTATATCTGCCTTGCAATTTGATCCAGACGAGCCACCTGGTGGTGAAACTGGTAACTAGTAACTACGTACTCGCCTCTGCGTTATGGATCATTACATTTACCTAAAAATTATGTATTGGCCTTAAAGCAATATAACGAATGCAAAATTTGAAGCAAAATTATTGTGTTATACCATAATTTTAATATCATACGCAAATTCCATGCATGTGACATTGAGTAATTAAGGTATTTCATGTGCTTTTGTGACTTATAGACAATGCATTTGGAATATAACGATTTAGGAGGCCGTTTCTCGAAACTTATCGTTATTGACGAATCGTTAATAGCGAATCGTGGATTCGTTTCCAGGATCCGTTTCCAGGGACACCGCATCATTGATAACGAATAATTCGTTAAAAACCATGACGCCATCGCAAATCGTTAACTTTTGAGAAACGGAAAATCGTTATTAACAATTGAATTAACAGTTCGTATACCCTTTGCATTCGTTTGACTTCACTTGTAGTTTAACTAGACTCTGCACGCAGGGTACAGTTCGTAAATAACGAAACTTTCGAGAAACGGCCCCCAGGATGATTAGACAGCTATACGTATTACTGCTCGGATGATTAGAGTTGTTGGAGAGTTTATATTGTTTTTTTACGTTCTTTGTTTTCAGACTTACCGATTTGAATAAAAGGGGGGAATGCGAGGATGCATGTAGTGATCCCGACACCATGGACCCAATGTATGGTGGATCTGAAGGCGAATGCATGGCAGATTGTAAAAAGAAGAAATAAATTAATTGTGACTTCGAGCAAGAGATAAAAAGATGACGACTACCTATAAGAATACGGACTTGGAAAGTTTAGCATTTATAGCTAATATTTATATCTAAATGGGATAAATGTCTAATGAGAACAAAATTATAACCCTCTACTTTATTTCAATAAAAAATGATCAAATTAATATTTGAATTTGAATTTACATTGTTTAGATTTCTCATGTGTGTATGCATTGAATTTAATATCTGATAAATAAGAGATCAAACTTGTTTTCCTCTACTTTAATTAAGAAATAAAATTTTAGCAAATCAATCTTTGAGTATTTTGTTTGATATTGTGACGGGTGTCTGTTGCGAAGAATGATCTAAACCACTAAGATCTACAAAACAGAATATGACAGCGATAATGCCACAATTGATAATGTTTATCCAATTTGCCCAAAACATACACTCCCCTCCATAAGTTTGGCAACCTTAGCTCCCCCATTGAACTACGTGTTAAAGGCTCTTTACCTTTGAATTTTTATTTACCTCACCTGCGATGAAAATACTTATACTATTAATGAAAACATAATTTGACTTTATTTCCAATACCTCCAAATTTTTTCAATCTTTTTTCCTCAATTACAATAAGTCGAAAATTGATGATCAATTTGATGAATTTTTGAAAATCGTCATCCCCATGTTATCCAATGGGAAATGTTAGGTTTGCCGCAAGTCATATGACAGATTATCCTACACTTGGTGTACTAAATGTATAATAACATTAAAAAATAAACTTGATATCCATTGATAAAATGAATATACGGAGGATATCGTGATGATATACTCCGGGCGGAGGGTATCGTGACGATATACTCCGGGAAACCCAATATGCGGAGGATATTGTGACGATATACTCTGCTTTTTGATTTCCCGCCAAATTGACTCTATTTGGCATGAAATTCATTTTGCAATGATATTATACATTTATTACACTCCTTGTATTAAGTGTAGGATAAAAAGAACATCCTATGATTTTTTTCAGAATATCATTTTAATCTACTCGGTGATATTGATATTGCACTCGTTCGCTTTGCTCTCTCGTGCAGATATCAATATCACTTCGTAGATAAAAATGATATTCCTCAAAATCATAGGATATCCTATAAATATCCATCCATCAGAGTCCTTGCAAAAATTACGAGTTAGGCAGGCAATTAAATTCGCTAATTTTATTTAACAAAAAATTGATATGTTTCTTCAGGTTCAACAGAGTTATAGGGCTAGTCAAAATTGTTTTTCAAAAAACCTCTCCCATTGAAATAACTCAGGAGGCGAAAAATTATTTTTAAAATGACTTTGAAGCGCTGTAACTTTAGTATTCATCATATAAACTAAACACTTAGTGTACAAAAAAGTAAGTCAATACAATTTTCTATATAAATTTGTTTTGCTGAATCTTTTACTGAAAAGATATCCTGATTTCTGATTTGCCCCGAACCCTCCATTTCCCATTGGATTACATGGGAATTACGATTTTCAAAAATTCATCAAATTTATCATCAATTTTCGACCTATTGTAATTAAGGAAAAAATTGAAAAAATTTGGAGGTATCGGAAATAAAGTCAAGTTACGTTTCCATCAATATTATAAATTATTTCATCGCCGGTTAAGTAAATAAAAATTCAAACGTAAAGAGGCTTTAACACGTAGTTCAATGGGGGAGCTAAGGTTGCCAAACTTATGGAGGGGAGTGTACTTTTAAAAGCGTGTTATAAGACTATATTTCCTACATTTACAGGCATATACTTTAGCCGATTGAATATAATATTAAACATAATATAAAAACCCCGGACAGAACTAATAAGATGATGTAGGACTTAAAAACTTCTGTATCGACTAAATGTGTTTCTGTTACTGTATGTCACTGAAACCTTTTTTGGCTATATTATAACACGGGTCCACAGTGTTCGTAATAGTATCTGTTGCTGCTGTTCATGTACATTAGTCTATCACAGATATATAACACAGATATACTTTGGCGATAAAAAGATGGCATTACTAGTGTGTTAACATCTCACTATACAACTAGACAACTTAGTCTTCGAGATCAAAACAATAACTACTCGGCGGTCAATTCGGTCTGTTAAGGATGGCGAAGAATTCGCCATGTTTAATTGTTGCATTAAAATCTTATTATTTTAAAATGCTTAAAATTACCCAAGTGTAACGTTTATTAAAAATGTTTTGAATGTTATTATTCATCCCATGATACGGCCGATACAATAGTCAAAACGAAAGGGAAAAGAGAAAAAGTAGTGTGAAGTGATGTGCAGACAGTCGTATTGCAATTTCAGTGTCAGCATGATATTAGATATTAGAAATATAGTCTGGTTCTGTATCATAAAAAACATCGGATCTAAATTTTCCTGAGTATCGTGGGATAAAAAGCTTATTTACTGAGCGGGATTGAATATAGGTTCATTCCCCGTATCGCTCCAGGTCCTCAAGAAATCATTTGTCCCTCTGAATAAAAATCATATGCAATCCCTCTCAATAAATAACCTCTGTTAATTTTATGAATATCTATTCTAACTTGACCGTGCTTTTATTAAATTTCTACACCAATCAAAATGCAGCACAGCCAATAATAGTGAACGTTCTCTATTTCTCCAGATATGCATTTCACACTCGTTGGAAAGAATGTCAGTACAAATGCACTCACCTTCGGTTCTTGCTTTGTACGACATTCTGTCCAACTTGTGAAGAATTTTACCATATTGAGTGACCTATTGATATTATCCATTCCTTAAATATTGAATCTTCGAATATGAACTATAAGGAAAAGCATATTATTTTTATTTTATTTTTCTTTCTTCAAATCTAATACATTTAAAGTACTCAATGTAATGACTGCCAAAGTTTAAAAACATTAATGGCAGTCTTTATAGAAAAACAGAATAAGAGAGCTGTATTCACTGCTTCGCTTTTTGGAAAGGATATCATACTTTTCCAAATATCCGGTTAAGTACAATTCCTCTCAAAATTCAGCTTGATACAGCTAACAAGTGCAGATGATGTCACATGATACTGCAATCCGCAATTTTTAAATTTTAGCAGTTCCGTTTACAATAGTGAGGTATCACATCGACGATTCTGTTGTCTTCTGTACCATTCGTTCGCAAACATGCACATTTTCTTAAACATATGATACTGACACACGTTTATGATCAAAATGCTGTTGTAGCGACCCTGGGTTGGCTAGTCATATTTTACTATTACATAAACTGCCAACCTGGCACCCGGTGTCGCTACTTCCCTTCCGCTCCAGAGCGCGAATAGTTCCGCTGCAGGGTCAGGGAAACAGTTGCTTGAGCTATAGCTTTTGTTCAGAACAATTGTTTTGCAAGAGTATTTTGAACATGGCGCACATTTCTGCTGTAATTTTATGTAAGGGTCAATCTCTCGCGAGAGACGGCGAGAAGAGAGTTGGCGCCATATTCACTCACGAGGCAGTTTTAATATTTAAAGTTAAACTGGTGATTTTGATTACTTTCGACACTTGATCAGGCCTGATCGATCGTTATGACAGCCAGAGGGGTGAAGAGGGTCAAGTGGCTGCAAAACTGAGGTTATATTTTCTTATTTTAACTCAACTGCTGTGCTGAGCATATTGTGAATTTTGAATTTATTTTTATTTTGTTTTTCTTTGACTTCTGAGAGTCAACTGGGTTTGACATTGGGTTTAATTTGGTTATTTGGAACAGTTGATCTACTGTGATTGATTTTCTTTGAGAGAATTATGGAATTTTTTGCTGGAAGTTTTTGATATGCTCAGCGCGCAGGTGAGATTTTCACAGCACCACCTTTTGACCATCGCTTTACTTAAAGCTCGATGTTGTTTTAATTGTAAGCGCTCATATAGCCGCCATCTTACTTAAGTCATTTGTAATCTTTCTGCCATGTAATTTCCTGTGACTTTCATTTGATAGATAAAACTGATGTAAAACCAAATCTCATTATTTATTTACAATTAAACTTTAAAACTTTACTTGATTTGTTGTGTTGATTGTTTGTAGTCATTGATTGATGGTTTAGATGGAATAACAGTAAAATGGCCCTATGATTAACTTTCTGATATCTTCCTTCATTTCATCAGTCTGTTCCAAATCATTCTTGTTCAATTAGTGTTTTCAACTTTTGTGTCTATTCAAAGATGGCAGCACCTTACATATAGTCCAGTAATCAATCTTAGCATTCAGCTCGAATCCGATACACTACGTGCTTTGACCGTTCAGCTTACCACGCTACCACTTGTTTGCTCGTTCGGTCCAGTTTGTTTGTTTGTTTGTACGGGTTGCTTTGTTGTAGTATTGGTAAATTGATTGATTGGGCAGCCCGTACGTGGCAGTTTCGGGATTAAGACCGGAGCTGTTACACTGTCAAACAGAATTGTTCGTCTGACAACTCGTAGACAAAGACATTATAGACAATATTTTGGCCACCTTGACATTAACGCAGATTGTCCAGCACCTAACCATTTAGAGATTTTCATACAATAACATACCTAATGCCTGGGTCACATTTGCTTCGATTCATCGACCGGCGCCCAGACGATTGAGTATTCTGATCAAAACTAAATACAATTGTAAACACTGTGGCTAGTCGATCTATGTGGATGCAGTCATTTATATGTAATGTATCGTGGGTGCTCGCGTATATTATAGGGAATAGGATCATTGCAAAAATATGACAGCAAATCGCGGATCGAGGTAAGTGATCTCAGAGTTTCTACTTAACATTGTGACTTGAAATCTTGCATACATATTCAATATACATAGTATGACAATGTGTGAAAGTTTCAGCTACCATATTCCTGTTATAGGGAAGATATTTGAAAAACATTCCGTAAACGTCAACATATATGTATAAAATGGATGCACCTATGTATCATTTGGATTCAGTACGGTAACAAATGGATGCTTTCATAAATTATATTTTTTATCATGATGATTTATTTACTGATGGACAACTGGCAAGATTTTCTTTGTATTCATTGTTTAGATAAACATTCCTCATTCAGTAAAGTAATTAGCCACCCCATTACAAGTAGCCTAAAGACACCCGCATGAAAAATTGAAAATACTATATATAAACCCATCAACTGGAAAATGCCATTACAGATGAAATAAAGGACTCACGGTCCTGTGCTAACACAGTGTAGAACCTTCAGAGGAATGTATATCCTGATTTTCAAACAAAAGTATTGATTTTGTAAATATGAGATCAATAAAAGATGAGTCCTTTGTTGTTGGTTCAGATATGATTTG